GCTGGTCATTGACTTTCAACATCATTCAGAAACAACATCTAGAATGACATTTACAGTGTGGTTGTAAAGTTTGATTCTGAGACATGACAATAGCTAGCTATTTAAAACCAAGATCTTGTTCTTGAATAGGAGATATGCTTGATTTTGATTATTTTTTAACAGTAAAATGGCCACCATTCTGCCACCTTGAATCAGATCATGAAACAAATGAATGTGAATTTGTAACCCAAGACATGTGTTTGAAATTTGAATGTGATTGGCTGAGATACAGGTCCAGACAGATGAACTAATGCATGCACACATGGTTGTTTAGGACTGCTTCTGAACAGAGTTTTGGAAAAGTGGCATGAATCCATTTTATAAACGTGGTGTGTACCAAGTAGTCTGCCATTTGTTAGTACATGTACATGTATGTAATGAACAACAATCAGGGTAATCCAGCATTATGTTGTTAGTCACTATGACAGTTTGCTGTTTATTAACAAATCTACTTGTACATATTTTGTTTTACAGCCATTGATAATGAAGTGAAAGAAGTCCTACATAACAACTATGAGCTAACGCCTATAGTTGCAAGTACTATATTGAAACACAGTAAAACACCTACAGATAGAATTGTGTTGCAGGTCAGTATGCCACTTTATAGCTGCATTAATTGGTAATTAATTATTCCACATAATTTGCATATTGTTATAATCTGTTTGACACCTGCTTCTGATGTATTCAGAAAATATATTGATTTGTTTATTGCAGTGTGTTCAGTTACTCCAGAGGATAACATACAATTGTAGAATACTTTATCCAAACTCCATGATTGATGATTTGTTGACATTTCTTATGACACACATGTAAGTATAAATGTATTTCCAGTGAAGATGCTTGTATAGTGTACACCAACATCCCAGAGGTTACATTATCCACAACTCCCTAGTACCAGGTCATTCGCAATACTGAAAGTGTTTTTTCAATCAACAGAATAGTAAAAAAATACAATAGTGAAATTGGTCGTCAGGTAATCTCTTAGACAAACATTGGCACAGCATATGCTCTATCATCCAAGTTCTTATATTGTACTTATCTGACTTAGCGTCCAGGGAAGTGTGCACTTAGCCAAGCACCTCCTCAAAAACTATGTAAATGAAAATTTTGAATCACCATGTGACAGAATATTACCGCAAAAACTCTAAAACCTCGACCAGTTTTAAACAATTATTTTGTTTTTTCTGAAAGTCGAATTTTTAGTCTCACAAAATAGGCAAAAATTTTAAAGTGGACGAAATTTTGGAAGAAATATTAGTCATTTTGGAATAACATGGGAAGCTTTTTGGGTTTCATGAAAAGTGGAATAAACAACGATAGTACAGACAAATTTGTTTGAAATAACGCGCTGTAAGTGTTCAGCTAGGGGTCACGACCTACATGACCTAATTTACACTAGAATGAAAAAAAAAACAAGCACGTGACGGCATATAAATAAAATTTACTAATAAGTTATACCTTAGAAAAGATTACATTTTGGGCGATCAATGAAATTTGTAATGTCCTTTTTTACAGTAGTCTTACAGTTATTGATAGAGTGCCACTGTCATTACAGTATCTGCAGTTATTGATAGAGTGCCACTGTCATTACAGTATCTGCAGTTATTGATAGAGTGCCACTGTCATTACAGTATCTGCAGTTATTGATAGAGTGCCACTGTCATTACAGTATCTGCAGTTATTGATAGAGTGCCACTGTCATTACAGTATCTGCAGTTATTGATAGAGTGTCACTGTCATTACAGTATCTGCAGTTATTGAGTTAATAAATAAATAAAACTTTTATTGTTGGTATGAATTCATCATGATGTAAATCATTGAAAAAAATGCAACTTTATTTTATTCAAAACAATAAACTTTGATTGTAGCGGTATCTTTTTTTGGAGGATGCGGTGGCCCTGAAAAGGGCCGCTTGATTTGTGCAGTAAAATATATTGCGGAAGTCATTACTGGATGTCGTTGAACCCCTTGAACCACAGTCCCTCCACAAACAGCCTGTTCGTTGTGTGTGAGGCTATTCTCACTGCCATCTAACGAAAGAATAACAGGATTTCTGGACAAAAAGAACATTCTTTCTAATAACCAGTTTGGATTTAAAAAAGGCTGCCGCACAACCGATAACCTTGTCATTCTTAAAACAATAATCACAAAGTACCTGTACCACAGCAATCACACCAAAACAACAAAGGAGTGTAACAATAAATCACAAACAAAGAAACCAAACAAATTATATGCATGTTTTGTCGATCTAAGGAAAGCGTTCGACAGTGTCTGGCATGAAGCCATGTTTCTAAAGCTACTAAAGTCTGGTATTACAGGCAAAATATATAGACTAATAAAAAACATGTATAGTAAAGTGAATTACAAAGTCAAAGTT